TCATCAAAATCCATTTTTTCTCTCCTTTTGGTATTATATATTGGTAAAGACAGTTTTTTTACTTGTGTACGGAATGTAATTCAAACAGCAACTAAATCTTAGTTTCCAAATATTGACTTCCAGTGAACAATTTTGGATGAACACAACAACAACAACAATAACATTTTGCGTTCAACTATAATTGAGGAACACATTTGAACTTAAAATTTCCAGTCGTCCATAATTTGAATATGAAATAGAAGAATTTGCAAGTGTTTTGATTTTGATTTTGAAACTCAATTGGATATAATTATATTACGGCTTGTTCATGTGTCTAATTAATTGGTTACCACTGCGTTGGCAAGGTCTACTTTAATAGGCTACCGACCCAACATACGAACTGTGAGAAGACATATAAAATTTTTTATACATAAAAACGGAATAAGTAAAACTTTGGGTTTTGTGCAAAATTCATAGATATTTTTTTTAGAAAAATTATTCTTTTACAGTTTGTAATATAAATCGGCTCAGAGTGTACAGGTTGTGAAAATACTAAAGTGTTGAACCGAAATCACGTCAAGCGTTTTTATTTTTAAGGTGTAATCGTTTTGGTTATTCAAGACTGGTTAATTATTTTAAAATTTAATTATAAAAATATTTGCAAAAAAAAAGAGCACAAATAAATATGATATGAGATATATAACTTCTGTTATATTCAAAGAAATTCGCAATTATATTAATAATTTTAATATATATAGGTATATTTAATGTGTAGTTAAGACTTATCGGAGATCTTTAATTCAACTTTGACATAATTTATTGGATTTGTATTGAATTTGAAGATACCAGTTTAAAGATTGCCGATTTATCACGACATGTGATTTATTGACCCATTGGTTGAATGTTTTGTTCAGATAAAATAAAAAAAATATAGACATTATAAATTCCTAACGGTATAAATCCAAGGTAAGATTTATCTGAGATCTGTAATTCGAATTTTACATAACTTATTAGATTTGTACTGAATTTAATGATACCACTTCAATGAATGCCGACTTGTCATGATATGAGGTTCATAGACCCAAACACATCCATTGGTTTAATGTTTTGTTTAAATAATATTAAAAAAATGTAGACATAAATTCTTAACAGTATAAATCCAAGGTAAGATTAATTTGGAATATTTAATTCAACTTTGACATTACTTATTGGAGTTGTACTGAATTTGAAGATACTACTTCGAAGATTGCCGACCTATACACACCTATTGGTTGAATGTTTTGTTCAGATAAAATTAAAAAATTGTAGATATAGATAGATAAATTCCTGGCAGTATAAATTTACAACTAGACAATTAATATTCAACAATTCAATATTATGTCTACTCTCCTATATGGATGTCAATCATGAAATGCTGCGTCAAATGACATCAACGCGCTATAAGCCTTTATTAACCAGTAGTTACGAAAAATTGTTAAAATGATCTGACTATATGAACTATGTGATGGTTTATTACTATAAAATATGTGAAACTGATGAGCCTCGTTTTGGTCGGCCAGTCACTAAAAATACCGATGTAATTTTGGAGAAACTGGTAGAGCCAGACTCTTGATGTTTAGGTATTACATGAATTAATGCAAAGCAATTTGAATGACCAGAATAACATCAGTAAATCACCGACGAAATAGAACCATTTTTGAAATAAATTATTTCGAGCAACGAAAAATGGATTAAATACATCAATATCCAACGTAAGCGATCATGTTCAAAAGTCGTTGACCCTCTACAAATGAGTTTAAAACCTGAATTAACAATAAATTAGATTACGTTGAGTGTTTGGTGGAATTGGAAGAGAATTGTCTATTTTGAACTTCTCCAGCTTGATGCAACGGTTAATTCTGTCCTTAAGCAATAAATACTGCTTCAAATATTTATATAAGGCATTTTAATATATTTTAATGTTAGAGTGATAATAGTGGTAATCAGATGAGGCTTGAGAAACTTAAGTTCCCCAACCTCTCCCAAATGAATCGAATGACATTATTTATATATATGTATATTTATTATTAAAGCATTATGGCTGCTTAATAAGATAATTAATTTATTACGGGTCTGGTGGTAGAAAAGATATATAAAAATACATAATTTTCTATAATCGGCATACTTTAATACGGTTTATTTATCAATTTAAATACAGATGTCTCAAATCTGTAATCACTATTTGAATATTATTATGAAGTAACAATAGAAATTTATATGTGTAGTATTATATACTACAATATAAATTTTATATACGGTAACAGTACGCTAATCGGTTGTTGCGCTAAGTAATTGCAAAATATACATAAATAAAGTAACAACATCAATGTAAATTGAAAGCGCTGCAAATATATAGTCTTCTGGTGAAATAGAATTGGCATGGTTGCCTCCCACCATTAACTGTACATCGTAAATCAAGTATATCCCAAATATACCAACGCCAAAACAACAATAAATTATATGCAATGTGCGGCTGGGAAAGAATATCATGACGATCCCCATTACTAATAGAATAATCGCTAATACGATCATTATACCTCCACAGGCTGTGAAGTCAATCTGTGTTTGTAACGCAAACAGCGTTAGACCAACAACAACAAGAAATGTTATAACCATAGCATACAATATCTGAAAGTAGAAGTATGTTATACAATAAATATAAAAATTGCAGTACATTGGACGTACCAATTCCAATTTGTAAAAAATGGTTATTACTCCCAATAAAAACGCTTCACAAAGTGTAAAGATACCGAGCATTATATAATTAGTTGGAGAAGTGCGACGTACATTTTCACAGCAAACCAATACCAACATACATATGAATGTGGCTCCTAATGCTATCCAAAATAAGTAAATACGTTGTAAAACATAAACTTTAAGATCATCATTGAATACAAACATCCCTATTATTCCTATAGTGACAAAAATCTGGACCTATATATTTTATAAGAAAAAAATATGATTTTTGGGATATAAAGATATTATATAATATACTTACAGCTACTATAGAGAAGACTTTTGATATAAACTCATGGCGCACTGACCTGTCGTCAAAACTATAACCATTACTCCATTCTGGATTATATCTGTTATTTTCTATAGTAAAGAGCTGTATAAGCTATGGTTATATTTAAAATATATGCACTTGTCATACCGCCAGATTTGATCATCTTGTATTACTTATAGAGTTCACTTTAATATAACACAAAAATTTTGAAATATTTTTAAAAAAAAGATTCACAGGATATTCATTTGTATATAAAATATAATCAAATTTTCTGAATTAAAAGTTAAAAAAAAACAACTTGAATAAAATAAGTTGATTTAAACGTCAATTTTCTTCTTGATTCTTCTTCTTCTTGAGTTAGTGCTATTACGCACTTTTACTCTATAATGGCTGGGGAGCTTATCTCTACCCCAGTGGCGTAACTACATTTTTTAGGCCTGTAAGCAAATTCTAACTAAGGGGCCCCTATCAACATACTAAGGGGCCCCTCTTTTTATACTCTTTACACGAAAAAATGTAAAAAGGGTATATAAGGTTTGTCAAGATTTTCGTAACGCAGTAAAGGAAACTTCGGAAATACCATTAAGTATATATCAGTATACTTTTACAGTTCACACTACTCTCTCAGCTTTTGAACTCTTCGAATGAAACTTTATACACATACTTTTCGGGAGCGCACCCTGTTCACCATTTGATTTGATTGAAATTGGACGTCTATTTCTTGTAGCTGTGATATAAACTTAACAATCGGATATGAGGTTTCTCCGTTTTTAATAAAGGTATTCAAATGGAATATGGTGTATTTGCAAAAAGACAACGTACAAAATTATTTTCAAATGGGTTTAAATTTAGATATACCTTCCATATAAACTCTCGATCAAGACACATATTTTTCTGAGAAAAACTTTTTATTTCATAAATAGGTTTAATATTTTATTTGAAGTACATACATATTATGTACTTTAAATTTAAAATTTACGTATCTTTTATAAAATGCAATATGAAGTTATTTCAACAAAAAACGTTTCGTCCCACTTTGGAGAATTTATTAAAAAGAAATACAATGAATACAAAAATTTATAGTGGGGCCCCCTAAATTCGGGGGCCCGAAAGCGTTGCTTCCAGTTGCTTCCCTGTAGTTACGCCACTGCTCTACCCCAAACTATGCTTTAACTAAGCTTAGAAATCATATAATTTATTTGCCTTTTAATTGATGACGGACCTTAAATCAGCATATCTTCCTGAGAGTCCAGAAGTGGACTTGAGGATTGTTAGGGCGGGGTTAAGTAGCGTATCAACTTTAGTGAATAATATTAGAGCTCTGTCTCTGATATATTTTTTCACTGAGTCAATCCTAAGATCTCTATATATGTCTGTTGATCTAATATACCATGGAATCTTAAACAGTCTTCTTAAATCCAGGTTTTGAGCTATCTGTAATTGTTTTAAGACCGAATTGTTTTTTTTGGAAAATAAGACACAAAATACTTTAAAAAAATTAAAAATATAAGGGTTTTTAAATTGAACGTCTATTATTTTCATCTCTTTCTATCTTACCGCTTTTTCACTCTCTTCTTACTACACACTCCATCCTTAGTCCTGCATTATTTTGCAACCCTTCTAGGTTTCATGCTCTCAAGTCCACGAAAATCAAAACAACAACCAACGTGTGGTTTGTTAAATATCACTTTATATTATTTTTGTCTATGATGTTACTGTGACCTATATGGAGTAAGTTAATTAGTAATCACGTTCACAATACGCGATTAACACTTGTGGAAGATATTATAAGTCGTAAATGAATTATAAAGCTATAGATGAGTATAATTATTCTATCTAATGTAGAATTATGTAAAACAGAATTATCTGGAAACTCCAAAACTCTATTTGTGTAAGTTAATATCCTTGTATTTTTGGTTACCACAATAACTACCGGAAGGATTTACATAAGTGTTATATAGAACTGTACAGATGTTTTGTTATAGTTGTATAATAGTTTAGAATTGCATTATATTTACTTAAGCATATATAAATTTTGTTATTTCATTAACATAAAGGATATATATAATATATCCATTTAATTTACGACAGAATTGAAAGAGTCACAGGCAGCAAAAAATTCTGCCTAAAACACAAAACAACGATAGTTATTGTTTGCCTAAGATGTTTGCTATAGCTAATCAGAAATCATCACATTCAAGAGTCTCTCATGATTCACCAACGCATATCTAATTCCTTAAGTAGGAGCCAACTAGCCATTGGCAAACAATAGGAACCAACTGTTCAGTTCATCCATAATAACATTTGCTTGTATGTTTAGTTAAGCCAACGTCTCTTGTGTAGTAGTTACACATTGACATTAGTTGGGTTTTGTAATATATTTTACTCGCTGTGATGTTAGGACTGTGGTTGCACATCGCGAGAATAGCAGCTCTACTGTCGGCGATGATTACGCCTATCCCGCATTTCATATTCAAACCTATAGTGAAGATATAGTATTCTTAATCCGTTATGCTAACTCCTTTTTTTTGTGTATCAGTTGAAGGATTGTGTGAAATAATTTTTGGAATTAATTTTCAGACATAGGAAGATTATCTGATAGAGTAGCCAACATAGATTAACATAATTAAAATCACTTATTGGTACCAGAATTTTATAAACCTTGCAAAAGAAACAGTTAGAATCACATGCACATACGAAATAGATCCTGGGTATGAGTATTCTTACGGAAGAAGTAATAAAACTCTGTAAAGTAGGTTCTAGGTCTCTAAGCAACAGGGCTTAGAGACCTACTCTAAATCTCGCAGGGGGCATAATAGATCAGACGGTCGCAGTGTCACATCCGCTAACAATAATATAATATAAATATATTCTGATTTTTGCAGCACTTATATCCTTATTATCTATTTGCCGACGTTGAGACACTGATTTATATGTGTAGTGCTATTGATATCACATTCTTGATATATCGTAACAAGCATGACGGTGAGAACCACCGGCAGGCGTGTTTTCATTGTCCTTTTAAACAGAATATTAAGACAATCGTTATATTGTACTTAGAGTCACATATATGTGTATATATTATTGTAAGTAGTGACTATTATTTTTATTAATATTAATATTGTAAAACGATTTACATTTTTAATACAATAGTAGAATATAAGCAACAATATAAACTTTAATCTTTTTAATTTTTGTTAAGGAGTCTTATATAGAATTTTATAAAAACGTATACAACAAATAAATTAAACAAAAGTTTTATAAAAGTAATAACAAAAAACTTCATAATACTAAATATTTAAAGAATTCAAGTTATAATTTTTGAAACTTAAAAGTGATTTTTCTTCACTGGATCTTTAGCTTATGGAATATTTGGTATGAGTTAACATTTTTTTCTTAACTTTATTCAAACATCAACATTGCTTCTTCTTAATGCGTAGAGTTTATATTTTAATATACATACATATATCATTATAAGAATATATTCAACTAACTTTTAACTATCAATATTTTTTTTTATGTTCAACAAATGTATTAATGATATCGTGGTGTAGGAGTTTTGATAACAGAATGCCAACAAATCTTAAATGAGTTGGCTTGCTGAATAAATAGAACTAAAAATAATTTAAGCTGAGCTTAATCCTTTTAATCCCTTGCGGCTCCAATTATTGTTAATATGTACATAAATATGTTGACGATGTCTAGATATAGATTCAAAGCAGCAAATATATATTCTTCCGGACTGATGGAATACTTATGTTCTCCACCCATCATCAATTGTGTATCATACACTAAATAGATAGAGAACAGTAATGCACCGCAAGAAGCATATACTAACGTCATAATTTTGCCAGGCACGAATATGGCCACAATACCAAAGATCAAGAATACAACCATAGCAACAAGAAGCACACCACCGCACATAGTAAAATCGTATTTAGTCTGCATGGCAAATAGTGTCAATGCTAGACATACTGCTGCTGTGATGCCAACTGCCATTAATACCTGAAGTAATTTTTAAGAAAAAAAAAAACAATATTTTTATAAATAAATTTAAGTGTAAGTTAATAACTTACCTCTTGAGATTCATATCGACTAGCAGACACGCCCAGAAGAAATGACTCGGCTAACGTAAATAAGGTCAGGAATATGAAATTCATTGGTGTCTTACGTCGGACGCCTTCGCAACAAGCCATAGCAATCATTGTTACAAGCAAAACAGCTAATGCAACCCAAAACAGAGCTGGATTCCTTTGGACGAAATGTTGTGTCGGTTTATGGAAAACGAAAAGTGCAACAAATCCAAAAGTGACCAACAATTGCCCCTAAAACAAAATTTTTTTATTACAACGCGCTGCTAAGAAGTACTTATTTATAACTATTTTAATTTTTTTATGGAATTAAAAAAAAAAAAGGCATCCATTAAGAAAAATAGGAAAAACAAATTGTAAAATAAAAAATTATAAAAACAAAATTAAAATAAGAAAATTGATTAATGATAATAAATACTTTGTTGCTGTTTTTATAGCCCGCAGGAATCTGCGAATACATTGGTTAGGATGTGGATGGATAATGTTTGAGAGTAAGATGATTATTAGGAAATGAGATCGGGAGATATGTGGGATTTAAATTGAAGTCAAGCATGATCAAAACTAATTCACTTTTATGGTTCCAAGAACGGTTGGGTTTATGTAATAAAGTCGCTCGTTCAGTTCGACGACCAGGTCGAACTCGCCAAAGGATCGCCAGATCCTAAACGAAATAAAGAAAATGTTGATACTAAGTGACGGAGTAGGTCCTACTATTGCTGAGTTATTTTTCTAAACTTATGATAAACCAAATATAATATAAGTTTCATGCATATGTAAATTATTAATTTGCCGCATTCATGACGATCATTGGTAATCATTAGTGCTAAGATCTGGATGTATAATCGTTTAATGGTTCGGTAATATTTTTAGTTGCAAAGAGTCTGAGTGACATATTCTTGATTAATGCTAATGGATGGTTAATAGTTAAATCCTGCTGTACAAAGTATTAATAATAAACTTTTATAACATACAATAGGTGTTCTATCAAGTACTAAAAGAAACTTATCAGAACAATTGCAGGAAAAGTAGGGTAATGGTTTGAACTTATGTTGACTCATCTTTAAACTATTATTTACATATTTTATAGTAGTACTCATTAAAAAGCTAAAAGTTTAAAGTTTAGACTTTTCTTTATGAACTAAAAAA